ATTCTCTTAATTCTTCCGACTCTTCAAGTGCAAATGACGAGTGTAAAAGTGAACAAACACAGCGAAGACAAACGTCTCTGGACTGAACTCAAGAAACAGCGTGAGATGTTTGTACAGAAAGTCACAGCAGCGTCACACAACGTTTTATCGTCCTTCAACTTCCCTGAGCGTCTCATCCAGATTCCCTGCACATATTATTTGTTCTACTTCCCTGCGTTTCATGCATCTGCTAAATGTCTGTGGTTATGCATTCAGTGCATCTTTGTGGAGCATCGCCTGAATAACAATCACAAACCTTTTGTTCAGCATTTAGCAAAGTGATCAAAGTACAATTGTAATGGAGGGGACGTTATGCGCAGTCAGTCACAGCTGCTGGTTTGCATGATGCCGTCAACTATTCCTAAACTCCCTCTTTATCCACAATAATCCGGTTTGCTGAGGATTAGAGTCAGAGCTGCTCAAGCACGTTCATATGTACACTGTATGCAAATAACTGAACAGTTATGAAATTACATGCATTCAGTCAATAAAAACTTAGTAATGCATGACATAAATGCATGTGTAGTGTTTGCATATTTTTAAAATCATATCTATGAGATCAGGCTGCAAAGTCATGAAAAACCTGTAAAATTAAGTTTTAAAATAGTAATTTCATGAATAATATTATTAATTGGATTTCCACCAAAAGCAAGAAGCCACATTTTCTATGGAGCCACTTTACAATTTAAATGATCATTTTGATCATTTAAATCTATTAATTTCATGGACATATGCTCCATATATCTCTATAAACTTTCCTTATCAAATAATTACAGTCAAAATATGTTACAAATGTATACATTTGTGAAGTAGAATTTATTAATAGCAAATGGGACATACATAAAATTAAGTGAACGTGCATTTTACAAAATATTTTCTCAGAAATTAGTCGAAAGCTTTTGAAAACAGAAAATCTCTGTAAACAGAAACTTTCTTTATCCAAAAATGACAAATGGCTGGAAAAGGCACAGGAAAAAAAAATCATGGAAAGTCTTTCTGGTCCTCGAATCTGACTGGCTGAGAAGTCTTTCCACCCATGAGATATTCACCCAATAGCGCCACAGAAACCGTTTCACCGTTTGTATCACTCCGCTTGCGATAAGTGTCATGGCAGATGCCCAAATCCACTATAATGTTATAAATTATACTGTTTTTGTGTCACGGAATGTAGTTTTAAGAGTACATGCGGTTTGTTTATAAAGATAATGCCTGTTTGAAAATTTGTTCCAACGTTTTCGGAGACGTAAGCTCCAGGGCGTCAGCGGTCGTTCAGCGCTCATGAACCCGCAGAGAGAGCGCCTCACCTCGGCCAGGCCTTCTGGAATTTACAGCTGGCTCTGGTGTCACAATAGTGGTTAAACATGAGATATAATTCATTAAAGGTAAATCTAATGGGCAGTCTTTGGTCTCATTAATCTATTATTTGTTCCAGAGCAAACAGTTTTAGCTGAGGGCAAAATCTCATCACGTTATATTTTATGTAACTTTAATGCTGAGTATCAGAGCACTGTCTTTGTAGGCTACTTTTGACACTTTTATGATGGCTGTTGTTTGTTAAATGTTATTATTCAATAAATAATATTAGTATTTAATAATAGTATTTAGTATTGAGAAACTGTATGTGTTCATGGTGGTGATTTTAGTTAAATTTTTCCACCATTAGATGGCGAGAAGACACTGTTTTTATGAGTAAGTCAGCAGTAAAGACTTTTATATTGAAAGAGACAGATGCTGCGTCCCAGTTCACATACTATCCTTCCTAAATAGTGTTCGAAAATAGAATTAGCATGTCCCAAATCATAGTATGTTGAAAAGAGAATGCCAAAGATTCCCGGATGGTGTACTAAAGATTAAAATTCGAAGTGCAGATCGACGCGCATTCTAAAGGCTAATATTGCCCACAACACATTGCGCGGTGGATGAACTACAAACACGCATAAAAAGTGTAAACAAGGAAGTTATTTTTACTTTAAACAACAGCTTGTAAGACGCAGCCAACAAATGCACTGAGCAGCGCTGTCATCAGAAATCACGTTTAACAGATGAATGGATAGTACGACAAAGATATCGCTTTCCTCGGTGGACATTCAAACTAATGTTTTATTGTGAATATGAGATTGAGCTGAAGAATGAATGCTGTATCTGATGCAGGTAATCACACTCACTCAGTCTATCTCTCTCTCTCATAATACTCTACATAATATACTAGCTTTTAAACTGTCAAACTGAGATTTGAATCCGTGGTGGAAGGAAGTAG